ACTTTTCTGAAAACGAGGTTTTTTTTACAACGGATTGAAAACGCGCGCGAAGAAAGGAAATGAGTTTTTGCCACAAACTCAAGTTTTCTAATCTTTATACCTTTGCAACTCTATGTTTTAGACCTTTGATATTTGAAACTATTCTGTTAGATCAAATATGTTAAGTTTGAAATATTAAAAGGTTTACACAATCAGGTTGCTCAGGGATTAGAAAATTTGAGTTTGTGGCAAAAGCGCAATTCCTTTATATGGAACATAATAGTTTCATAAAAATTGTTTTTTACATTCTTTAACAGTTTTTAAATCTTTGAAGGCGATATAACAGAATTTAATTAACTATTTTATTAACTATTTTAGGAATTCCTGACAGTGTAATACAATGGAAAAAGATACCTCGCTCATCGCACGCGCCATTTTTAAAATTTAGTAATCATTTGTGGAGACCTGCATGTACATCTCAAATCATCTCTTCCAGCCTGAAAATTTTGATTGTTTAAGAAAAAAACTCAAAACGATCCCTCTCAGATCCTATCATTAAACGATCCCTCTCAGATCCAATCATTAAACGATCCCTCTCAGATCCTATCATTAAACGATCCCTCTCAGATCCTATCATTAAAACTACATGAAATAAATACAATTCATTTGATAAACTTTGCAAGATTCTTAAAATTTATACTATTTATTCCATTTTACTTTATCTTAGCTTTCCAAAATTTCAATCTTGAAATATTTAACATTCAGATTTAGAGATATACAAAGGATACACATACACACATATCATCACATCTTTTAACTTAATGTCATTGCACATATACATTGTACATATACATTGTACATATACATTGTACATATACATTGTACATATACATTGTACATATACATTGTACATATACATTGTACCTATACATTGTACATATACATTGTACAATGTATATGTACATATACATGACATATAAAAATTGTACATATAAATTGTTTATGTACATTATACATATACATTGTACATATATAATGTATTTGTATACATTATATATGTACAAGGTTGGGAGAGGCAGGCAAGTAATGAGAAGTTGACATTAAGTTGACATTGTCAATATCTTTTTTTTTCTAAAAAGTTGTTTTTCACTTTTTTAGATTGAGAACTTGTGACACGATTTTAATTTTATATATTTTTAAAAAAAATTTAAAATTTCCAAGAAATGGATAAAAACGAGGTGACATCAATACTTTGATTCCAGCGTTTAAGGGAAATATTCAAAAATAGTTAATAATTTAAAGGGATTGAGAGGTTGATCAAGTGACCCTCCATGCAACAATGAAAATGTCTGATTCACAACGGTACCCTTAATAGCGTTCTCTGATCTAGTATAAATTATGTTTTAATGTTTATAACTTAAAAAACTGATTATTGTCAATAACAAAATTACCGAACGAAACCGTAACGGACCTAACTATAAAATTTAAAAACTTTTAAACCTAGAAAAAACAACAACATCTTCTGTATTATTGATCAGGTAGAGTTTTCAAGGGTACCGTTGTGAATCGGGCATTCTCATCCTTTCATGTAGGGTCACTTGAAAATACGGGTACAGTCCCTTAAAGACTATAAATTATTATATTAATTAATTATTAATTATTAGTTAATCATATTATTATTTATTATATTAAAGGGATAACCAAATAGCAGAATCATTCTTTTTTTTAGTGATTGATACTGTATCAAATCAAAATCTTAAAATTTAAAATCTTTTTAATCTTTAGAATATAGATATGGGTTTATCATTATGTATGCGTATGGAAACAAATATCAACTATTTTTAAATTGTGAGTCCAGTTCATTTTAAAATAAAGTTCTTCAATAAAGATTTAAAAAAAGATTTAATTTGTTTTTAATTTGCTGAAAAAAGGTGTTTGTCCTTTTTTGTTTTTGATTTGAGACCGGGGAACTTTCTCTAGAGCAGACTTTGAACTTTATAACATTGTATCGTGATTATGTAATCTTTGATATTTCAAAATTTCATAGTTTGAAATATGAAGGGTCTACGGCATCAATATAGCTAAAAAGATATACGCAGTTCAAAAATTAGAATTGGTTGCAATAAATCAGTTCAAAAATTAGAATTGGTTGCAATAAATCAGTTCAAAAATTAGAATTGGTTGCAATAAATCAGTTCAAATGACGTTTGCAAGCACTTACAGAAATTATTGAATACTACAGATAAGAGGCCTAAAAAATAATTAAATATTTAGTGTTTCAAACAGAAAATATATTTCATATTTTGGTTAAATTAAAGAATAGTATGGGTTATGTGTTTTTTGGAATTTTTGTACTTGAAATTATATGTTCTGTATGACATTACATGGCCCCAAACGGTGTTTCAAGAAATGGTAAATATTAATAATCAATGTAAATAAAAAATACTGGTTCTGTAAGAATAAAATATTTTAAATATTTCACTTCATCATTCATACTTTTGAGTCTTGATATTGATGTTGGTATCGTTGTTGATCTTGCTGTTGTTGTTGTTGTTGTTGTAGGTGATGATCTTGTTGTTGTGGTTGTTGCTGTTTCAGATATTTTAATGACCATCTGGATCTTTTAACACTTTCTTTTCTATAAAAAGAAGTGATAAAACGAGATAAAACTTTCTACAGATAATATGTATGTCATTGCTGACCAAACGTCCAAATCACCGTGGCCTAGATCCAAATCACCGTGGGCTGGATCCAAATCACCGTGAACTGGATCCAAATCACCCTAGGCCGGATCCAGATCATCGTGGGCTGTATCCAAATCACCGTGAACCGGATCCAATTCACTGTCGACTGGATTCAAATCACCGTGGGCTGGATTCAAATCACCGTGGGCTGGATCCAAATCCCCGTGAACTGGATCCAAATCAACGTGGGCCGGATCCAAATCATCGTGGACTGGATCCAAATCATCGTGGGCTGGATCCAAATCACTGTGAACTGGGTCCAAATCACCGTGAACTGGATCCAAATCACCCTGGACTGAATCCAAATCACCGTACTGGATCCACATCACCGTGGGCTGGATTCAAATCACCATTTGCTGGATTAAAATCACCGTGGGTTGGATCCAAATCACCGTGGATCAAGATAAGACAGTTTTACGAATACTAAGATTAGATAAGAGAGAGAGAAAAAAGGAATGATTGAACCAAATCTCAAGATTTGACCGAAAAATATTTTCAACAGATGTGGAACTAACGCCTACATTATTTACTCTCGAGAGATTTGGATCGTCCATAACATCCATTTTTAAGGGAAAAATACATTTAAAATTTTACACATCTCATTGAGAAATATTATTTTGTGAAAATGCTGTATGGGAATTAATCCTTCAGAAGCTTTCATTGGAAAAATGGTTTTTGGAAAGTATCTACTCCTATTAATATTTTCTGTGACATGCAAATTACAAATTACTCACTAAAATCAACAGTACGCCGTTCTTTTTTCCTTTTTCATATCTTCATATTCTTTGCTTTAAACTTTCTGTAATTTTTTGTGTAGCACCTGTGATCCTATCATTTAAAACAGCCCTTACCGAACTAATGTATTGTATGTATGTAAACATTAGTTTTAAAAAATGTGGAAATAAAGTTTAAGTTTAATCTATTAATTCATAAATTACCTTCCCGGTGGGACTTTTCCACACTGTGGACACCGCTCCTGTTTAATATCACATTATCCACCATTTTCTTTTTAGTCGTCTTTGCTGTAAATACTTAAGTAGGAATTAGATATCCATGGTTTTGTTTCTCTAAACTGTTTATTTTCATTTGCAGATTCTCTAAGAAAGTGACTTGCGCATATATTGTTTATAAGCAGCAATTAGAAAGTGACTTGCGCATTTATTGTTTATAAGCAGCAATTGAGAAACTCGCAGAAATAAAACTTTTCGCGTATAACAGTCATTTAAATTACGCTGACTGTCCCTTTAAAAGACGACCAGAAACTCTTGGAATATGACGATCCAAAGGTTGAATCTAAACTAATCTAAACTTGTCTAATTCCTATGTCTCTGTAATCTAATGGTGTAAGTTTTTAATAATTCAAAATAAGACTATTTGATCTAACAGAATTCATGAATTGAAATATCGACGAATTCAAAATCGGGGTTCGATCAAAGATAAAGTTGAATTATAAAATCCGAGTTGGAGAAAAGAACTCAGATTCTTTGTCGCTGAAAAAAATCCTCTGCAGAGAACCATGAAAGTAAGAAATATGATAGGATTAATTCCGTGAAGTTGTGTCTTTGTAGATATGGGCATCGTTTTTGTCAACGGACGAAATATTTGAGAACGAACAAACAAACGAACGATGGACGAATGACGTGGATCGTTCAGACTATTGTTTTTTTTAAATAACAAACGAAAAAAAAATTTTAAAAATAACATTTTTTACTAAACAAACGATTTTACCATGCGCAAGAGTTTACTGACAAATCATTCAGTGACAAAACGAACAAAACATTTGGAAAATAAGCGAAAATTTTGAGAACAAACGAAATCATCCTTTTTGAACGATTGAAAAAAAACCAAACGAAATGGATCGTTCACGAACGATAAATGCTTTTCTCCTCCTCGGATACATGACTAGACGAACACTGATGCATCTTTTCTTGTTTACAAATTCCGCACAGAGAGAACTGGTTTCAATATGTACGCAGAGTATACGCAACTGCAATTAACTTTCCTTGCATTAGTACCTTGGGAGTAACCACAAAGAATGATAAAGGAAAGACATCTGAAACTCTTAAAATATGACGATTCCAAGGTACAAAAACATTATGCCTTAACTATAGTCGTTTAACAGTTTACGTTACAAACAACAAAATAAGTTCACAGTTGCAAGGAACTGTGAATATAAGGAAACAGACAGTGTGAATTCTGTACAGTCGTCTCTGAGGTCTCATCGTTTGTTAGTAACCATGTATACCTAAAGAAGAAGGCTGAGAAAATGTGATATTCCCTGATAGCAGGCCATTTCTCCCATCTCTATAAGTCTACAGTTCAAGCACGGTAGATCCTTCATATTTCTAAACATAGTTGTCAAGAATAATTCAAAGGAAATCTTTTATTCATTAAAAAAAATTCCCGTACGAGCAAATATAAATACTTCACCTTCTTGAATAAAGACTTTACAAAATGTCTGATGTCTTGTGTACAAAAATATTTGAAAATGTTTAGTATAGAAATTTCTATTAAGTATGGAAATATGGAAATACACATCTATTGATATCGATCGCTACTAATTTCATTTTTATCTGTTGCGTAAATTATGAAGTAAATGGTTAGAAATGTCTTATACCCAAGAGCGATCAATTAGTATTGATCGAAATGAAATTCCATTTTATATCAGCACCCCCTTTCATTTCATTAAAATGATAAATGGGTTAAAAACGAATTATAATAAAGAACGTAGGACCCGCTAAAATCCATAGAGTTCCATTATTTCAAAAAGATCGTAAATTATTCAATTTAAATTTGAAATTAATCATATGGATATTAGAACCTGTCAGTGTCGAATGCATTCATGTATAGTTGATATTTCATTACATATTTTATTCACTTACAGATGATGTACTTTTGTACATGTATAGTTGATATTTCATTACATATTTTATTCACTTACAGATGATGTACTTTTGTACATGTATAGTTGATATTTCATTACATATTTTATTCATTTACAGATGATGTACTTTTGTACATGTAGAGTTGATATTTCATTACATATTTTATTCACTTACAGATGATGTACTTTTGACAACGATTATATTTGGCCGCTATGTGTCTCTACTCTACACATTCAGGGAATCCGCTTGGGAGAGACGCCTAGCGGCCCAAAAATCTTCATTTAAGGTATATTGTCTCTAAAAAAATATATATATACTGTGAAATATCAACTATATAAAATGCATTGAAATGAAAATCAAAATGTAGCCCTTCAAAAATCTTTTTTGCAGAAACGGAAAAAGGGTAAATTTAATTTATGAATTCTTACTCCACTCCATCTCTGAAAAGACTGTTACTGATCGCCACACTATACCCAGGACCCCCTCCTCCTCCATCCCTGTCTTCTTTTCTAAAAATAACAACAAAACAAACAAAAAAACAATTCAAAAGAAAATAAGTCTCTTTGATCTTCTAAATTTCCATCAAACCTTTAATGTTTAAAGTTTCTCCCTTCAATCAATTTTTATATTAAAATGTTAGAAATTCTACATTTTTGACATTCGGGTTTCTAAACCAAAACCATTAAAACATTTAATGCTAATAAAAGCTAATTGATACATTAGTAATGCTTAGCTACATAGTTAAGCGTTAATTAAAAATTGTTTTGTTTTGAAAATTACTAAGGGTTCTTTTTAAAGGGAGTGACTGTCCATTTCTAGATAAATTGCCAATTTCCTTTAATGTCTCTGATGCTATTTTACAACTATTTACAAAGAAAACAATTGTTTTTAGTAAATTTTCTTATGGAGAAACAAGGATCGATTATTTTTGCATTAAAAATAGTTTTTAACCCTATTCCTGCTGGGGTCGAAAAAAAATTGCAAATTTTTTGCAAACAACCTGTCAAAGGAAATTTGCACATTTTTAGTTTTTCTTGATTAAAAATCAGGTTATTTAAAATTTTGCAAAATTTTTTGCATATTTAAAATGGCATGGTCAAGGGCTTTTCAAAAATGTATAATTTGTCATTTTTCGGACAAATTTTTTTTTGTAAACATTTTTACTATATAACTGGATTTTGCGATAAAAAATTCAATTTTTGCAAATTTGCAAATTTTTTTGCAGATTCTAAAAGTAGAGCACAAGAGCTTTCTAATGATGTATCATTTTTCATTTTTGGACATAAAACATGGGATTTAGAGGGGGGGGGTCAAATTGACCCCCGCCCAGCATATCCTGGTTTTCCAGCAGGGATAGGATTAAATTTTTGATGTAAATCGTAGATATACACATTTAGAATTACAATAACAGTCACTTTGATTTTTAAATTTACAAGTTTACATTGCTTTAGCTTTTAAGTAACTTCTTTATCAAATCACCTGCAAAGCCTAGCTATTCCACATGATATAGCTCCTAGCACTACCACAGCTAACCCACCTAAACCAGGATAGTTAAACTAGACTATAGCTATATACCACAATATATAGTTCCTAGCACTACCACAGCTAACCCACCTAATCAGGATAGTTAAACTAGACTATAGCTATATACCACAATATATAGCTCATAGCACTACCACAGCTAACCCACCTAAACCAGGATAGTCAAACTAGACTAGCTATATACCACAATATACAGCTCTTAGCACTACCACAGGATAGTTAAACTAGACTAGCTATATACCACAATATATAACTCCTAGCACTACCACAGCTAGCCCATCTAAACCAGGACAGTTAAACTAGACTATAGCTATATACCACAATATACAGCTCCTAGCACTACCACAGCTAACCCACCTAAACCAGGATAGTTAAACTAGACTATAGCTATATACCACAATATAAAGCTTCTAGCACTACCACAGCTAGCCCAGCAATTGCTTTGTTTGTTTGTTTTTGTTTTGGAACATAACCCCTTGACCGATTTGCCTCAAATTTGGATTGGGGAACTCAGAAGAAACATGGGAAAAATGTTCTTAGCTTGTTTTAAAATTCCAAGTTGGGTAAGTGCACTTTTGAAGGAAAACATAGTTTCCAGGGCAGCTGTGTTCCCAAGCTGGTAGAAAAAATAAGTTCTAAAATAAAATAAAATAAAATAAAAATAAAATAAAATAAGTTCTAAATATTCTCTCCTTCCTGTAAAAAGACTATACGCGTTATTTCAAATGCATTGATATAATAATAGATCCGATTCACAACGCTTGTAAGCTTTTCCTAATTAAGTATAATTTTAATATTTATAACAATGGAGAAATTATTATCTAGTTAAACAGCAAACACTTTTTAAGTCAGAAAAATTACGTTAGCTTTCAAATTATGTTTTTAATGGAGAGTTTATTAAATATGACCATACCATTCAACAATCCAATAAAGGGACTGTTTTTGTTTAAATCTATACAGTCCAATAAACATGACACAGATCATCGTCACGAGGGCACTCTTCAAACCATTAGCACCTAGATACATTTATAGGATAGGATTTAGCAACAATGACAATGCGGATTTTCTAGAAGGCAACTGGTGGATTTGTAAAGCAATGTGAATCAATACAAACTACTCGAACTGTTTCATATTTAATAATTTATCTTTTATCATCATCTGTCCACCTTATCTAAGAACTGCTATGCGTTTTTTTGTGTTTAATATTTTGCGCTTAGGTTACACCAAGAAGCAAAATATCGAGATTTCGCGAATCATGAAAAATTTTCCTTTTTTCCTTTTCGTAGCTGAGCGCAAAAATATAATGCTAATTAAAATGCTGAACCAAAGAAGTCATTTTTCTTTTTCTCTTTTCAAATTTTTTCTCCCAAAAATTTAGATTTCTTGATTCATTTTTTCCTTCCTGGAAGTTTTCAAACCTTTTCATTAACTTAAGTTTAATTTAATTAAGTCCGATTTTTTAAAATTTATTTTGAACCACGTTTTCAAATTAAAACCTTCATTAAAGATATTTTTCCTAAAATGCATTTTCTTCATTTTCATTCAATTTTTCTCTTTTCTATTTCACCTCTATTTTCTTTTACACCTTATCTTTTCTATTCTACCTTCTCTTTTCTATTTTACCTTCTCTTTTCTATTCTACCTTCTCTTTTCTATTCTGACTTCTTTTTTCTATTCCACATTCTCTTTTCTATTCCACCTTCTCTTTTCTATTCCACCTTCTTTTTTCTATTCCACCTTCTCTTTTCTATTCTACCTCCTCTTTTCTATTTCACCTCCTTTTTCTTTTACACCTTCTCTTTTCCATTCTGCCTTCTATTTTCAATTCTAACTTCTCTTTTCTATTCTACCTTCTCATTTCTATTCTACCTTCTCTTTTCTATTCTACCTTCTCTTTTCTATTCTGCCTTCTTTTTTCTATTCCACATTCTCTTTTCTATTCCACCTTCTCTTTTCTATTCCGCCTTCTCTTTTCTATTCCACCTTCTCTTTTCTATTCTACCTCCTCTTTTCTATTTCACCTCTTTTTTCTGTTACACCTTCTCTTTTCTATTCTGCCTTCTCTTTTTAATTCTAACTTATCTTTTCTATTCTACCTTCTCTTTTCTATTCTACCTTCTCATTTCTATTCTACCTTCTCTTTTCTATTCTACCTTCTCTTTTCTATTCTGCCTTCTTTTTTCTATTCCACCTTCTCTTTTTTATTCCACCTTCTCTTTTCTATTCCACCTTCTCTTTTCTATTCCACATTCTCTTTTCTATTCCGCCTTCTCTTTTCTATTTCACCTTCTCTTTTCTATTCTACCTTCTCTTTTTTATTCCACCTTCTCTTTTCTATTCCACCTTCTCTTTTCTATTCCACCTTCGTTTTTCTATTCCACCATGCTTTTCCAGGAAACACGGAAATTCCTCAAAAGTAATTATTGATCGCTTCATTATCACCTTCCCTTTCACATACTTTCACTCGTTCACTTCTCTTCCTTCTTCTAACCAACTTATCCCCTTCTATTCTACTCTTTATCCATGTCCTCTTTCCTTTCTTCCTTCCCTGCCTTTCACTTCCCTGCCTCTATAATATATGGGTATTTATATTACTCTGCAAGTGTTTGTCTGCATTGGAGGAAAGCTTTTAAAATGTTATTATTTACTCTTTTAAACTAAATAAACTATTAGTAGAATTTTGGATCTTATACAAAGAGTACACAGAGTCCAAGGAGTACAACAAAACGATCGCTTTTAAAAACAATCGCTTAAAAAAAAATTTGTTTTATGTTGAAATTGGAAATAGATCTTTAAAAAAATATTCTATGACTATGCCAATGAATATTTAATATGTGGGAAAGTTTTTTTGTTATAAAATGAAGTTTTATACCTTCCAATTTTAAATTTGACGGGGGGAAAAAGTTTTGAATTCGAGTTTCAAATCTCCTATGGGGAGGGGTCTTGGTTAAAACTTCAATGAGGTTTAAATTTTGATACTTTTATAATCTCAAGAAACTTTAAAGCTCATCAATTTTAAGTTTTAGAAAAAAATGCACTTCTCGAATTTCTAATTAATTATTACCATTCTCATGAAACAAATAATTATTCAATTGATCTTTTGATCTCAGATGTGAATATTAAATTATTTTAGAAAAATCTACCATCTTTTAAACATCTTTCCATTCTTTTTGAATCAAAAATAATAAAAATAACAACTTTTTCAAAAAGGTGGTGTCTATTTGTTCTAAAATAGTCACTATTTTAAAATAAGATTTTACCAAATAATATAAAATAAATTATCTATTTCATTATTAACAAAATATTCGATATTTTCAAAAAATAAAAAATCTTTATTAAATGTGAAAACTATGGATTATGGTTTTATTTTGTCTTTTGTCCCTAAAGCTTGAAACCAAAATTTCAGGTCAAAAACAAAGGGAAAACATTAAAACAACAAAAGTTTGGGACTTTTAATAAGAAAATTATGCAATAAGCTAATTGTTTTTAGAGTTCTTGGATGGCCGATGGTCTCCAGACTACCCTCACCCCCCATCTAAAAAGTTTGCGCAATATTCTTCCCAGAAAAGTTTGAACTATTGATCATCTTCATTTGATTAAAGAATAGATTTTGTTAGAACTTGAGGGATACAATCAATCAATTAATATCATGGTAGTGTGGAAGACGATACCTAGCCGCCTAAAACAAGACCCACAAGAATGAGATATCACGGATACGAGTCATTGTACTTTGAATCTACCATAGATAAAGATTGATTGCGCATAATACGACATTTTTCATATTGAAAGATATAAATGTACAGAGATGATTTAAAGATATTCCTATTATATATATTAACTAGGTCGGTTGTGAGCATTGGCTGTTCTTATGTCATTAAGTACTTGTGGTGTACATGAGTTCTGTAGAGAGAAATTTAAGTTAGTTTAGTCCTTCTCATGTCCTTCTTCAATTCTCGTCAATATGAAATATTGCTCAGTGAAATATTGTTGTTCAAATATTTCCATTCCTGGAGTTATTTTACACTCTATTATGAAATCCATTAAAACGCCAAACCACCCCGCTTATCATTGAAGTACACTTTGACCCCTAGAAGTATTAGTTCGTGGACTGTACAATTCTTGGTGATTTTGCGTACATAAGCTATCTATGTTTATTTATTTATCCATGGAATCTACACGTGTGATCTTGATATCTACTCATGTTCTGAACCCTCTAGGTAATAAGTTATAAGAAATATATATACTGGAAGTTACTTTATGCGTTTCATTAGAGTTTGACATCACATCCTCTATAGTAGAGTAAAAAAGAGCATAAATTCGTCTTCTACAGTACATTTAATGTTAAAGGTGGTGTTCGCAAAAAATAAATACGATATCATTTATCATCATCATATCAATCGATACTAATTCATCTTTTCTCTGAAAATGGATAAAAACATGGATTTGAATAGATTTTTAACCATTTTCTCCGTATAACAGATGAAGTAAAATTAACAGCAACGAATTCAATTCGATATCAGCATATATTTCATTTTCGTGAACAGTCCCTATAATGAATAAATTGTAAGAATTTTCGTTGTATTAGCTGCTTTGACGAATTCTAGAGCTATTTAGATAATTTGAATGAAGTCAAATTATCTTTATTACGAAAAAAAAATTCATTTTAAATTTTGAATATAATTAAGAAAACTACATAAATCCCTTTAAAGTTGAAATCTTATAAAAATGCACGAAAAACAGAAAGAAAAGTTCAGTTATCAGTCAAGAAGTTAGGTTTCCAATCGGAATTTCGTTGCGCGCAACCCGCGCCATTGTACGGAATTGCGCGGAGTTTACAGGGCTCGCAATTTCGCACAAGAAAAATCCTCTTGCGTTGAAACACAAAAGGGTCATTCCGGACCATAATACTGAATGACCCAACGATGCCTGATACCGGATATTTGGAGTTGTCCTTCCTTTTGTAAGAGAATGGTGTAGTGTACTTCATTCGAAATATCTAATTTTTATGGTTGATTATTAACAGTAGTTAGTTCTACTTATGGTTGATC